TGGCCCACATATCTCTTGAATAAAATTTGGACTATATTTGACCTGGTCTTCTCTTATAATGACCTTAATGACCTACCAATAGCCTTGACACATATCACGAGATTAAATTCATCAGGGGCTTCCATGGACACTCTTTTTATGGTGTGATCGAAGCAATGGAACGGACTCGGTGATTACTGCATCCTTTCTTGATAAGTAGTATCAATAATTTTAAGTATAAACAAAATATTTCCTTCAGTACACTATTTTTATGAAGTTTATGTACATGTCCCTTTGTGTATGGATGATCTATTATATAGACAGTTTCTCTGAATTTGTCTCGTGTATGTTGAGGAATCGTGATGAAAAGCACACCAAAACTTGATCCGATTCCTACATCACTGCTGCTTAAGAGCTTAGATTCAATATTGTCTTCCCTAACCAATGCCATTAATACATCTCTCATTTGTTGAATTCGCGTCAGTTTTCAAAACTATTGTTGCAAAGCAGCTGTTAAAAAAAAAAACACTGGCTATAGCGGATGTAAATACTATCGCCCTGATTTTTTGCTGTCACAAATCTTAGAAAACATTCTTTTTGACCCAACATTTGTCTCATCTGAAGTCAAACATGTTTGTGACAATTACAGTCAGCACATCGCCTCGGTCACATTACCGAGTCTGCTCTTCTGAAAGTAGTTAAAGACATTCTTTCTGGTTTGGATAATGGAGAGAATTACAGTCGTCACCCTCCTTGACTTATCTGCAGCAATGGACACAAGGTAGCATGATATATTACTTCACAGTCTCCAGCGTATATTTGGCATTTGCGATGTAGCTTTACTATGGTTCTAATCGTAATTAGTGGATTGGACACAAACTGTATCCGTAAATGGCAAACATTCCAATCAAGTTCATCTATGTTTTGGTGTCTTACAGGGTTTTGTCTTTGGACACGTTCTCTTTATTCTATACACTCAGTCTCTCTCGAGTTAGTTCAATAAGCAAGCCATCACCACCCCTCATCTGTGTTGATGCCGATGGATGATATGTCTGTCTGATGTCACTTGATTATTAAAATTTGCAATTTTGCTGCATGAAATCTCTCCTGAACATACATGCATAGTTTAAACATGTACCGGTAGTCACAGCCACATCTAGCGTGAAACTTAAAATGGATACAGGACAGAGAATGGCACTATTCCACGTGGATTTACAAGTCGCCAAACATAAGATTTTACCCGGAAATAGTATGCATATATCGCCAAAAGATCACTTCAGCCGACGGTGGCTCAAAAGCTGCCAAAAATACCGATAAGTGTATAAAATGTGTGCATACAAAAGTGGCAAAAGACTTTTGCAGATTTTAATGAATATATAGTATCAGCCCCTAAACGGCCAGTCAGTATTATTAAAGATGAGATTTTGATTTATCGGCCACCTCTCGAGTGTCATAGATCGTCATCAGGTTATTCACCACTTGTAGGCTGGTGACACTCAGATAAATAATTCTAGTCACATATCTGAAGATGATGCTACCTCCGGGGCGCAGAGGTGCATTTCAGATGTGAAGTCATGGATGACATGTAACAAGCTACAGACAAATGATGATAAAACTGAAGCAATGCTCATCACCATACAAAGACTTTGTCATTTCCATCCTCGGTCTCAAACAGTAAATATCCGCAAACATCAACATTAAATTAACACAATCTATAAGAAACTCGCGTGTCACTCTCGACAGTACTCTTTCAAAACGATAGTATATTATAAATATATACAAGGCTGCATACCTGGAGCTGCGATGCGTCTTAGTTTTATTTTTCTGTTGATGTCGCTAAAATATTTTTTGTTTTCCTGAGTACCTTCTAGACTTGACTATTATAATTCAATTTTTCTCTAGTTCATCACAATATCTACTACCAAAAGTTAAAACAGTTAAAAACAGAGTTGCTTGGATCATTCTTAGAGTACAAAGAACTGGGCGTCCCCAACTCACTCCAGTTCTATACCATTGGCTAACCGTTCGCTCCTGAATCACAAAATCTGTTATGTGTTATATTTCGCTGACTGCCTCAAGTCAAAATATCTATCTCTACCACACCCATGTGTATATCCCTTCTAGATACTTTCGCTTCTTTTCTGACGCATGTAGCTTCATTATTCCAGCTATCAGAACCAAGTCCTTGGACAATGTACTTTTTCACACCAGATCTAGGCTACATAGAATTAATGTCTTCTTGAATTCGATTCTTGAACAATGAGACAGGGATCTTATTTAAGAGTGCATTATAATAAAATCTGCCAAAACAGATGGAAGACTTAGCAGTGTTCCATTATTCTGAATAATTTTCAGCATGCTTTTCTTTCTAAATTCGCGGTGTTTCTTCACACAGTTTGCTATATATCTCCTGAACTATACATTTACATTCTGGTAAAATGTTTCTTTCCTTTGCGTCCTTTTGTTCATCAACCTACTTTACTTTAACAATGTTTAAATCTCCTCTCGGGTTATGTTTCCTTTTGGGGTTACTGATCCATAAGTGCATAACCTTACATTTATCGATATTAAATCTCAGCTGCCATTTGGCTGACCGTGATTTTAAAGCACTTAAATCACTTTGCTAACACTTGGTGTCATATTTGATTTGTATTTCGCTATGGCTGTGTGTTGTCCGCCCAAAAATTGTATTGTGCTGCTTCATCTGGCAAATCATTGAACATTTTTTTTTTACTGAGCTACTTCATCTGGCAATTCATTAACAGTTTTAATGGGCTACTTTATCTAGCAAGTCATTAACAGTTTTAATGGGCTGCTTCATCTGGCAATTCATTAACAGTTTTAATGGGCTGCTTCATCTGGCAAGTCATTAACAGTTTTAATGGGCTGCTTCATCTGGCAAGTCATTAACAGTTTTAATGGGCTGCTTCATCTGGCAAGTCATTAACAGTTTTAATGGGCTACTTTATCTAGCAAGTCATTAACAGTTTTAATGGGCTGCTTCATCTGGCAAGTCATTAACAGTTTTAATGGGCTGCTTCATCTGGCAAGTCATTAACAGTTTCACTGGGCTGCTTTATCTGGCAAGTCATTAACAGTTTCACTGGGCGACTTCATCTGGCAAGACATTAACAGTTTCACTGGGCTACTTCATCTGGAAAAGTCATCCACAGAATTATTGGGCTACTTCATCTGGAAGGATATTAATTCTAGGTGGCGCTCTACATAGGTTAGAATTTTTAAGAAAAAGAATTTCCCCGGGTTTCCTCACTAGTTATACTGGCTATTTAAAAGAGACTTTGTATATCCTAGGTATTGTTCAAAGAACCTTTACTTCTTTTATTTTGATATATGATTGATGGGAGTAATATGGGTTAGAGAGAATACAACTTGGCCTTACTCCAGATGTGCACCTTTCAAAAAAGTACTAGCTCTACTTTCTCTTTTTCACTTCTCGAACTTCAGAGGTAAATTGTAAAAAAAAAGAGCAGATAACTTTTTTTACATTTTATGTATTTGGTAATTCATTCATTGCACTTTTAGAAGCTGGTATTGTCTAGTTTGGTAAAATTAATTTTCATATTTTAATAGCTGTCAAGAACAGTGTTGTTTAGATAACCAGGTTGATTTTTGGAGCACAAGGGAGCAGACATTTTAGTTAGCAGTGTGATAAGATCATTTAAAATTTCAAAGAGTACAATATCCAAAGAAATTTCCGCCACATTACATGAAAGTAGCATATAGGTATGCCAACATTCTCTCCACTGTGCATGTTTAAAATGCAAACAACTTCACCTTACATACATCACTCTCTCAAAAGTACATAATAACTGGTGAGCGCCACTCTAGCTACATCATCAAATGGGTCAGAAATTTACCTCATGCTAAATGCTAATTCAAATACCTGCCAAAACAACTGTGACACTGATACTACCCGTTTTAGAATAAAAGTGTTATGCATAACGTTATCACACATACCATGGTCAGCTTGACGAACAGTCTAATGTCCGTCAGCTAGCTTACCGACCCATATGCGAATTCAATAAGGCATGTTTTCTGTTCCGTTGATAGGTTTGTAACAAGTCTACGCTCTTAAAATAAGTAACAGAAAAGAGCGAAGACAACAAGCTTTGTAAAACTTGAGAAATAATTTATTTCTCTGGAATAAAAAGTAACAAAAAAAAAATTAGAAAAAAGAACATACGGTATTGCGAATTAAATCCAAAAATAATCCAAGAATTAAAGACAAGTCCTAGTAATGAAATGTACTGAATAAGCCTCAGTTCAAGTCCGAAAGAAATTCACAATTGAAGACAATGGCGTGTCCGTTATAGCCTACGTCGTACTGATGTGTCAACATCTCTTGTTGCCTAACAAATATTGTTCCAGGTTTGAATTCAGTATAAATATTATCCAAGAATTTTTCAGAATACTTTGTATTTCCAGAGAAAATAATCACTTGAATTCAATACTTTTAAGAAAATAAAATTCAACTCAAACTAGACACAATATAATACAGTTTAAAGTGCCAGATGTTAAAGCACAACTGTTAATATCCTCAGTCCCAAGATAATATAGTTCTCTGATTGACCTCAAGGTCAAAATTGGCATTTTCTAAAAACAACCATTACCTAATGGAAAATATTTTTGAATGATCTAATGAGCCTTGTTTACTTTAATCATAATACTCTATAAAATTCACTTTGGAATTCTCAAACCTCTGACCCAAATAAACATGTTTACCTGAATAATAATTTTGTCAATGAGCTCATACCCACAGAGGATAATGAAGCTATTATTAGTTGTTGACATAAATTAAATAAAAATAAAAAAGTCAGTAAGGTCAAATAGAACTGAACTCAGTTTTGGACAAGGTCAAGTCCAGTAAACAATCTTACATTACAATAACATGTAATTGAATAAACAAAAGTGTGTAAAACTAACAGACAAACAATTAAATTAAATATACATAACAGGTACATGTGCATTTTTTCCTTCAATATCGACTTCTTTGATTCCTAGACCGCTCCAGTGGCCCAGTGGTTATTGCGTCCGCCTAGAATGCGGGAGGTCGCGGGTTCGACCCCCTCCTGAGTCATAACAAAGACTTAAAATGTTTCTAACAGCTGCCTCCCTATGCGCTCAGCATTAAGAGGTTAGTGTCAGGACTGGGTGTCAAGATAATGTAATTAGATGGGACATAATACCACATGTCTGCCGCACGATTCCCCAGTGCTAGACATCACTATAAACTGCCACACTGCAGACATTGTAGCGATATGACTCAAATTGGTAAAGCTACGTTAAAAATAGAACACACACACACACACACACACACACACACACACACACACACACACACACACCTGCAATAAAATCCGTACAAAAGGCTATGTTGCTATTTCGTATTTCTGATATTTCATTCATTCATTTGACAATAGTCTATACTGAGAAAACCGTTGTATGCAGCTAAGGGTCAATATTCCTAACGTAACTTGTAAAGCTCAAATCAAGAGTCCTGCCTTACTATATCAATGACATTTTGAAGAAGGCTGAAGAAAAAATTAGTTTTTACTAGTAAAACAAAGGAAATCATTTTCCACTATTGACCTAGATCATTCGTTTGCCTATAAATCCGTGTTAGCAGATGCGCAGTTATCTAATCTCCCCCCCCCCGGGGTTTAATATGAGACAATAGATGGGAGGTGTCACACCCAATATATATGTACCATTAACCCTAGCCCCAATCCACCCATCTGTCTGCCATGCCTAAGAACTGACGAATACATCGGTGGTGATTACTTAACTGCACAAGCTTAAGACACTTGGACGACTGTCCGTATCTGGTTGAATCTTGTCGCGAATTAGTTTTCACTTTTATGGCGTAGGTCGTTGTAAAGACGGTGTGTATTACGGCGATAGTTACATCTTGACAAGAAAAATAAAGCGTTTGATTTCCACATAATCAAATGCGTGAAATTAAAAAAAAATATACTCCAAGTTATCCTAACTCGTATTTCAACATCTTTTATATTTTGTTGTGCCTCTGCGATGATAAAATCGTTATGTTGCTGCCTATTCCCAAAATAAATCCGGATGTAACAAAATAAAGAATATAAACAACATTTTAACAAGTACACATTCAATGGCACTTTATATGACCGCCCCATGTTTAATAGTCCGCTATGCATGTAACCGATACTTTTTTTTTTAGCAGAAACCATTTTTCTTCCTTCAGTCAGGTTTACCCAGACGTTTTGCATTTTTGACTCGAACTTGACAGGCTTTTTCTTGACCCTACGTGCAATCCATCCACAAAATTCAGGCCAGGTGTGTTGTCTGGAACTGCTGTTGTCCGGAAAACATTTTTCTTCTGTCAGTCAGTAGCTTTGATATTTGACCCCCTTAAATCAACAGACCCCTCCATTGACTTCTTCCTTACCCAAAGTGAAAGCCATCCACAATGTTTTGCTGCAGTATGCTCTATAGAAGTAATGTTATTGAGAATATGCTATGTTTTTTTTAATTATTATTATTTGTGACAGTGACCAGGAAGTGACTCCCAAATCAATAGGAGGGGGGGGTCTTACACTAATTGCAACCTGTCTACAGTTGGAAACTGTAGATGATGAAGAACACGAGTAACTGTGCAGAAAAAAAAATTCAGTCATAATGACCATGACTTTTGACCTTTTGATCACAAAATCGATTCGATTCTTCCTTACTCAACTGCAAGTCGTCTACAACGTTTGGTGACTGTAAAAGCTTGAGAACTTGAGTTTATCGTGGCTTTTTTGTGTGATTATCGATGCATAGAGTATGATAGACAACCGTGTTATAGCCCGATCGAGTGAATATTAAAATTAAATTAATTGATAGAATAAATGGAAATATGAGCAGAGATATAAAATAGTACAACACAAACCTTGTATGCAGAATATAACAATTTAATTAATTAGATACATCAAAATAAAATTGCACAGTGTCCATTTCAGCATGCACCCCTACCTGAAAAAACAATAAATTAACTCAATACTTAAGTGCAATTAGCTTCTCCGTGTTATATTGCTACTGCAAATTTCATCATGAAATTGATTGAATGTTTCGAACTTTAATTGTCCGGCATGTTTTGTTTTTTTTTCATAGCATAATAACTTGTTCCTGTTAACTCTCCAAAATGCTGGGGAAACTTTACTGAACACTCTCTTGTTCCCTCTGGTCTACTTGTGCATCACTCAGCCTGTAGTGTCCAGTTAGTAACTCTCTGATAATTGGTAGTGTAAGTTTTTTTTCTGATAAAATAAATGCGGCATAATTCTTTTCTCATTCTTCTTCCTGGACTGAGTCATATACTCCACTCTTCGGTGCATTCGGGCTCGCCTATATCATATGTAACAACAGACACTCACTGCAAATTGACTTCCATAGAAATTCAGGTCATCACTTTGCATCCAATACAAACAAATGTATCTACATACACTCAAGCTTCTCTCTTTCCATAGAAATTTGACTCCATGTACGAAAATTAATAGAACTAGCTACCATTCCTTAATAATCAATAGCATAGTCTACTCTCGCTTTATGGCAATTATGCCCCTACAATATGAACTAAAAATCACCATCTCGAACTAAAGGTTCGACACGTGCACATATACTGCTAATTAAAAATATAACCGTATGTAATTTCTCTATCGATCTCTGCAAGAAACATTTAGTTGGACACGCGTACGATTAATTCGATTTATGGAGACTTGCACGCGTTTAAATCGCCATACTGCACGGATTGGCACAGTCCCTGTCATGAGTTTAGCGATATTCAGTTAAGATTACGTTTGTTTAAACTGAAAAGGATAGGGGTCAACTTCTGATCTGTATGGAAAACTGTCATTTCTGAAAGTTACCAGGAATCCATTAGGTAATCAATGGTTGTCCGACGAACTGCATTGTTTGAGACTAGTTGAGGCGGAAAATTTTGTATTTACATTGGGTACGCTGTGAAAGGGCGTGGTTTCACATGAAAACTCTTAGTTTAAATTTGCTAATAGCAAATTTTAATATTAGTCTACGCTTTTCTACAAGAAAAAACGAATGTAAGAAGACTCCGAGGGATTGAAGAAGTAAAGTCACTAGTAAAATCATCCAGGGGAAAGGATTGTCTGGAGAAATTGAGGTACAATCCTGGAAAGTAAGACCTTGAAAACACAAAGTAATTGTAACAATCTTACGTAATTTGTTGATACTACTATGATAATTTGTTGATTTATTTGCTTGTATTTGTATGAATTTATTTGTTTAAATTCGTAGATTAATTTTCATGATATGGTATAACTGTTTAGTTCGTTTATCTGCGTCTGCACAATACTTTTTTATACATACAGTGACGGCTCATTTGTAGGTATAGTCTCGATTATTCTAGGAAGTTATGTATGTAGAATTTCATGCCTTATTTTATACTGGAAATTATGTATCTAGAATTTCATGTCTCCTTTTATATAGGAAATTATGTATCTACAATTTCATGCCTTATTTTAGTTGAGATTTTGAGAATCAGTGTGAATTCTCTGACCCTATTGTGTGTATTTGTTATAAATATCGTAGTTTAAGGAATTTATTTACTCTTATGTGTAATGGAAACTAGTCTGGAACTAATGTCTCGGTGTGGTGTTGAAGTATCAAGATCTCAATTCTAAAAGAAAGAAACGAAAATATTAATTTGTGTACAACATATTGAAATCTCTAGTTATTGGAAGATAAAAACATCCAAATTTAAGCTAGTGCTTTGATATTGATTGGAGTGTAGGAGAAGCGTGCTCCAATCAATAATTCATATCCTGAATATAATAAGGACATTGAAATGAATTTAGATTAAGCATTTATTATTGTTCAGCTTTCACTTGGTAATGGAAAAAGCCTAATTAATAAGCCAGTTCAATCGGATAGAAGTCAAATGATGTTTAATCGCACCATTCAATCAATAAAACCTTATTAGATTTCGTTGTGAAGTTGGGAACAAAGTAATTGATAATCACCATAGGGAATAATTAAATTAATTAGGTTTACAATGTGAATGACCACTGGAAGGTTATGGACATGATCCAAAAGGTCGTTACTTGGAAAAAATACCGTCCACACTCACACTCTACCCCCCCACTAAAACTTGATATAAAGTTAAAGCTGTCCTTGGAAAGAACGCAAGAAGCACGCGTCATTTTAGACAAACATCTTTTGAGACTGGATGTAGCACTTGTGATCAGGCAGCTTCCAGAATATAAAAAAGGCTTTGAGCTGTTTTATTCTCAGTACGATTCCATGCTCAAAAGAGTATCATGTCTATTTCTTACAGCGATCCCACCTCTCCGCAGCTAAGCATTCCCCACAAAAAGATGTAACCGTATCTACACCATCATATGTGACACCTTATTCTTATGAATGCTGAACTTCCTGCCTTCTCGTAATTAGACACGAGAAGAAGGTTATGATGGAAAACGTCTAAACAATAACAACATTCATTCGCATCATAACAGAAGTATTCATTAGCAGGACCAATAATTTTGTGAAATTAGGCTTGTGAATGATCTGTTATGGCCAATTAAACTAGATATCCGTGGTATCTAACATAACAAGGAAGTATTGATCTGTTCCTCCAATATAATGTGACGGAAGATTTAGGTTGCTCTTTTTTATATTTTTTACAAGGTGAGATAGCTTCACGAGCATATTAACCCAATGGGACGGGACGTCTCACGTATTACGAACCCAAAGTGGACACAAAATTGGAAGGACAGAAGTGACGTAATACCTTAGAATTTGGGAAAGAAAGACCCAGACTTACCGTCACAAGGAAGTCAAAAGAAACAGTTGCTGTGGAATTTGAATTGAGTCAAGACATCAGGTTATAAATCGATACAAGGCAGTATTTTTCAGTCTTTCATCCGATTTGATGATGAATTATATCTATCGTTTAACCGATCGGCTATTGGCATAATTATATTTGTATTTTAAATTCAGGCTTGAATAAGTTAATTCAAAAAGGAAGAAGTATATATCCTATCGTAACGTATTATTACTTTTGTTTATGAATTTTATTGTTATGAGTTT